TAAACTGAGGGATTTCTCGAGAGAAAAGGAGCCGTTGGAGAAGAAAGGGGAAAATTTTAAATTTAAAAAATGTGCAAACGGAGATCGATATAACACCGTTAGTTGACTACCAGTCAACGTTAGTTAAGGCCTTGATATGATGATAATGATAATGGGCTTTTACAAATTTCGGCCCAGTTCATATAAATATAAATATTTCTTTTTTTTATTCATAATTTTTACACTCGATGAAATCGTTTGGTGGTATATGGAATTTTTATATAATTTTTTTTTATTCATTATTTTTTACACTCGATGAAATCGTTTGATGGTATGTGGAATTTTTATCGTAAATTTTTTTTTTATAGTTATATCACCAATTGACCCTTGATTTTATGGGTAGTACGTCATTGAGAAAAATTCCTGTGCAAGAGGATGTTACTGCCACTTCCACGTTATTAATAAAGAAATCTTGTGAAGGATCGTTACGTTTACGTGCACATGTATTTTATTCCTACATGTATACACGTCAACGTTATGTATGAGAGAATATGTCTTGCAAAAAACAAAAACCTATTTTATTTGAAGTCATTTTTATCTTTTTATTGTGAAGCGTTTTATACAAAATCGAGTTTCACTTTCGACTGACTTTTATTTTCTTTGGTTCTAGTATCTTGAAAAATACTGTAAAACAAAGAATATATTCACGAAATTTTTTGTTAACGATTTATTGAAAGTTAACAATAGAAACATATGTTATATACTTATAGAATATATGTATAACTAACATAACAAGAACAATATAATGTTGAGAAGTGATTGTGTTTGACATTATATATAAAGGTTCTTTAATTCAAAAGAAGAATTGTAAAGCTTAGCTTACTTTTCAGAACTCTTTTAGTCTTTACTTATGATTTTAAATATGGAACTCGACTTATTTTCTTCTATTTTATTTATCGATGAGAGATATTCTAACTTATCATCATTCATCGGTGACGTACAGTTGTTTGGCTCACGAGTTCCATGTGGCCAATGTCGATCTTCC